CTGCTTTTTACATAATTCTAAAGGGTTTGCATTTTATAAAAATGATGCATTTGAGGTTTTGTGAGCTATTGCTAGCTTGTTGTTTTCTTTATAATCTTGGGTTGTTTTCTATTTAACAGCATGCTGCTAAGTTTGCAGCTGCTGCTGTTTGTTTTACTTGCTGCTGCTTGCTTTTTCTAGTTTTGCTTTGTGTTGTTGTTTTGCAGTGTTGTTTAGCTTGTTGCGCTTGTTGTTGTTATTTTGCTTGTGCTGCATTTTTGCCCGTATATTTGTTGTTGTTAGCTTTTTTGTTGCAGCTTCTGTGGGATATGTTTGGAAGCTTGTTGTTATTTGCTGTTTACAGCCAGTTTTTTTAGCAGTTTTGCTTGTTTTGTTTGCAGCTTGGTTTGGTAATGTTGTTGCAAGAAAAATGTTTGCACACTTCTTTTCCTTTTGTGAACCAAAAAAACCTAGACTTTTTGTGATTTACAAAATAGGAGAAGATAGCCTATGATTGAAAACCCCTTTTGAATTTCTGATTCCAAATGCAAACCCTAATGATGAAATACAAATTTTCTTTTAACAATTAGTTCTTTCTTTGAATCTTATTCACATATTGATGTTAGCTAATTTTTTCCTCTTTCTTATTTCATGAGCATGAGGATTGGAAGGCCAAAGCGAGGTTGAAAGGTGAAGAGAAGTCATGGCAAGAAGTGAGGACGAGTTACTTGAAGATGAAACAAAGAGACTTGAAGAAGAAGCATTTCTTTCTTTTTTGTAAACAAACAATTGTAACTTTTATTTCAACTTGTAATCCGTTTTGCAAATTGCCCCAAAAAATGTAACTTGAATACAAGACTTGAGTGAATTTTATGAATGATGAAATTTATTGTATGGAAGTTAGACAACTCTTGAATCTTGCTTGAAATTAGAAATTCCCTACTTGAATGATTTGAATGACATATCTTGCCTTTGTAACTTGAACTTCAAGAAATCACAGATGACCTTAGTAACTTGCATTTCAAGTAAAACACATGCCTTGTCTTCTAACCTCACTCTTCGTATCGTGTCCAAATTAAACTTGCACTCTCAATAAGAACTTTAACTTTGATATCCAAACCACCAGTAACTTATAAATGAAGCAAAAAAAAAACATGCCTTGATTATCATACGAGTTTGCAACATCATCTCTTGTTTCATAGCTCAAACACTTACAATATTAGTCACAACCTTTGACCACAATCTGAATTATGTAACTGGCTCAAACATGATGATGCACACTGATGAAGAAAAATCTCGAAGTATTAAAGATAATTGAAACCCTAATCCAGGACCTTGAAGAATATCCTTGTGACTTGATGAAGAAGGAAACCCATGATACCTCATAACTTCATACCACAATCCACTAATCGAGAACCAAATGAATTTTCCTTTTACCTGATAAAGAAAACCTCAAACTAAAGTTAACCATAAGGATGACATAACCCTAATGCTTTGAACCAAAGTTCCCGATCCCATGATATGCATGATATGCAAACGACTTAGTAAAATGATGCAAATTCTAAGCCAGACAAAAGTAAAAAGGTAGGGAAAATTTGGGGTACGACAACTGAGACCTGGCTGAATGCTAGAGGAAAATAAATCACCTTGCTTCTCTATCATGTCCATGGCATACCTCTCGAGAATCTCAATCAAATCATCTTTCTCCTTCAATTCTGTTGAGTATGATACTTTCAAAGTCTGGTACTTATTCTTCCATGCTTCCTTCTCTTGCTGCATCCTGACTAAGGCAAGTTGAAGTTCTTCCATATCATCTAAGAGAGGAGAAGTAGTCATCATAAACATATTAGCTAAAGGTTCTTCGTGAGGATAAGACATCTTCAATTGAATTGCCCTTGCTCGTACTCACCGAAGATGAGGCTCTAAGGAAATAACTCCTATTGGTCCCAAATCCTTTCTTCCCTTCCTATGAATATGGCGCCAAATTTTTTCAATCTCTTCCTTAGCTGCTTTATGATCTTCTCATTCCTTGAGAAAAAAACCACTCAGATGAATGTTACTTGGTTTATCTCTAATTGGAAATCCAAGTTGGTGGCGTGCAATAATAGGGTTGTAGTTAATACTTCCCTTTATACCAAGAAGAGGTACACTGGGAAAAACACCACAGCTATCAATAATCTTCACATCACAGTAAGCTTGATGGTACCAATCAATGTAAGAATGAGTAAGAGCCATAATCTTCGGCGCCCAATGCGGTTCCTTCTTGATATCCCAAAAAGCAGCAGACTGGGGTAAGTGAGAAATAAACCACTGATATAACAACTGTGTGAAATAGATGCTCATCCCTTCTTGGTAGAAATTCCAAAGATGGATGGAATAATAAGTATCTCCTAACAACATAGGGAGTGGATTCCCGATCAGAAATATCCTAATGGCACTAACGTCCATAAATTTTTTGACGTTAGGAAATAAGAACAACCCATAGGCAAGAAAATCAAAGATATCTTCAAAGGCAATTGTACTCTTCACTTTGGCATAGTAACGAGCTTTCTCCAACAAAAACTGAGCAGTTAAACCTCTGATTCCACCTTTGGTAGTCATGTTATTCTCTATCTCAGACTTCCTCAAGTGAGTAATTGCTGCAATCTCATGGGATTTGGGTTCTCCTCCTAAACCGGTGAAAGGAATACGATCAGTAATAGGTAAACCAAGTAAATAATAATACTCTTCTAATGTGGACATCGACTGATAGTCAGGAAAAGTGAAACACCAGTACAACAGATCATAGAACTAGACCAGCGTAGTAAGAATACCCTCCTTCATCTTGATCTTCATAAGAGGTACAATGGTGTTTCACCCTAAAATTTGCCCTCCTAATTGTAATTTATTTGTCTTAGGCTTAGTGTTGCATTCACATTTTTCCATTAGGTCATTAACATATCATTTGTATAGCATACATTCGCATTTAATAAAGTGCACGAGGTTCAAAAGATCAGTGGCTTGTACATTAGAGCTTCATATGGATTGGAACTTCTACAACAAGTACAATCTGATTCTTTTGTTTCACCGATCTCTTTCTGTGAACATTAAAGTGTGAGATTAGGGCATGAATTCTGATTATCAGGGACTCATCCCTCATCGAGAACAACAGGGTGTTTGATGCTTAAACAGATGACTGTGGCTAGTTCAGTCATTGGAAAGGAACTTGATCTAGTGGATTTCTTGAATCATGATTTATTTCTCTGTATGCTTCATAATCAGATGGCTCCTCATGATTAAAGTCTTGGTTGTTCTCAATCGTGTTGATCGTCCAGAGCTTACGGATTGAACTGGGTTTCATTGTTCATTCGAGTAATTACTTAAGGGAAAATGATTCCATGAATTCAAACGGTCAAAATGGATCAAAGTTGGAAGGGTGTTACATGGTTGTCATGGCGTAGAAGGAATAACACTCATCATCAAGTTCCTTTACAATAATATCCATTCATCTAAATCTCCTAATGCATTCAAATGGTATGAAAATCAAAGATCATGATTTGCTAGTGGTTGATTCAAAGATTGAATTCATTCATGAACTTCAAGATTTTGTTCAATATTTCTGCAAGAGCTTTTACAAAGATTCATCCAAACGTTTTTGAACAAGAGAAGCTCCAACTCATTCAAGCCCATTATGATTCAAGACGTTATTCAAGTTATAGGAAAATACATTCATTCACATCAAGGCCATTACAAGAAGGCTACAAACATCATTCAATCATCATTTTAAAAGGGAAAAGAAATCGTATATGATTACATTCAAAATGCATCAAATACATGAAAAACTACATAAACATATGCATATCCCTAACACTAGTCTCCATCTTAATTATTCTTCATGTTTTTTTCCAGACTTTTCAATAATTTCTCTGTTTACATCCAATACTTCTTCAATTCTCTTCAAGTCCTCCATGACCAAGATAACTTTGCGACTTGGTTCTCACCCTTAACATCAAGCCTACATGCTGCATATGACTAGCAGCCATCCGAAACCAATTCGGAAACCGAAGATATCTTGCAAAAAAACAGATTGGCATTTCATCAACTAATGGCATATAATCAATTCAGAAATTTAAACGTGAGCTAAGTCGATTCCATCAGTGCATAACAGTTCAAGACATTCAAACATAGTTCAATTTAGTGTAACATTACCTCACATGTATCAGGTCCACATTCACCATTAAATCCACATTCAGAGTCGGCTTGTGTATGCAGCCCAGGTTCACATTCTAAACCACTCAAGATTCACTCCATATGCACCTTCAAATTCAGTTCGGATACACGTTAAAACCAAATCTCTATTCACTGAAGAAAATAAAAAAACAGAAAGTGTCAAAACAAATACAAGAAACCAATTCATTCACCAAATCCAGATTATAGCAGTTTTCTTTCATCACGAAATGGAAAACCGAATTTCAATATCCAAAAGTCCAGCTAACAGAAAAAGTCAAAAGAAATCCAACTATACCCTTTGTTTCAGTTCAGAAAAGGCAATAGAGGAAAACCAGAAAATAGAGACCGTGCAATATAACCGAATAAATACCAGCCATCCAGTTCTCTAACAGAAATAAAAATCAACAGTTCAAATCAAAACAAATCTCTAACTTATTTTCTAACCCCTAACCAATTTTTATTTCATCTAACAGATTCCTAACAGATTCTAATAGCATTAACAGAAATATATAAACAAAATTTCTTGCTTTCTAGGATCCATTTCTTCATTCATTCTGCAGAAGAATCACAAAACCTCAGAAGTTTCACAAAAAAAATCTCTGAAGTCTCTCTGAACTGCAACATATTCTTCAAACTGCTTCACTCTCCTCAATTGAACTCTGAACCAAACTTCACACATCAGTTTCTGCAAATTCAACGTGAATCCGCAGCCTCTTCAATCTTCATCATCACACTTCTTCACGGTTCTTCGACAACTTCGATCTGATTCCTTAACAACATTATTCCATCTATCTACTCTACATCACTGAACTTCAACAATCCCCAACAGCTTCCTCTTCACGCGTAAACGCAATCGCAATAACAACAACACTACAAAAAACACAATAACCAAAAATGCACGGAATCGAAGAAATGAAGAAGAATAATTATGAATCAAAGAAGATAAAGAAATGGAGTACCTGAAAGAATCTCTGGATTTCTGTTTCACTTTCGACAACTGTGAAAACGTCATCAGAGCGTCTCCGATCCATAAGCGTCGAAGCAGAATCCGTGAACTGAAGCTCGAAGTCGCGTCAAAGATGAATGAAACGCGAACGGAAAATTTGATATCTTCAACTTTTGCATTGTGTTTTTTCCTTTCATTATTGTTTATTAGTTTTGTTAAATAATTGAAACAATTAATTGGTGAAAGTTCTGAAGGAAAAAATGGATATGGATATGGTGAGTGGACCGAAACGTTGTTCCCTGGGCCCATTGATGGAAATTTCTGGAACTTGTTTACCTTGTAACAAAAAAAATGCTTATGGATCCATTCAGATTGGGCTCAACACTAATTTATTTGCCTACAGCACCATGGATTCTAGCTTGTACCCCCTGGGCTTGTTAGTTTGTAATTTTCTTTTGAATAACTTTGATAATTGTTTGGATTTGTTTGAAATTTTTCTTCACACGATAAAAAATAATAAAATCAAATATAAAAATTTGTTAGATTTTTTTATTTGATTTTAGGAATTAAATCTCGATTATCCGATTACTTGAGATTGGTAATTCACCTTTGCTTATTGAGATTTGAGTCTTATGTAGGTTTATTGTGCGATATGCAGATATGCTTGAGATTTCGATTGTGATTTATTTTCACATTGATGAGGCTTCGACACTTATTCCGGGCATTTGATCTCTTACACTTTTTCGTTGCTTGGTGAAGCTTACTCTAAGTTTTCCAGATTTCTCTGTTTTTGCTCGCAACACTACAAACTTTTGTTCGTTTGATATTTTCTCTGGTTTCTCATTTCAGTATTTTATCGCTTTCTAGAGATCATGTATAGTAGGGGTATTTATCGCTTTCTAAAGATCATGTGAAGTAGGAAGCAGGAAATAAAGAGTGTGCGCTCAAAGTATCTGTTTAAAGTCCTATAGCAGGCACCACTTTTTGTATTTTATTTGTGTTTGTTTAAAATCCTACCTTTGAAGTAGGTGTGATACAGTGGGAGAACTGACTTGAGATTTTGCGTTTGTGTTCACAAATGTTTCGGTTTAGCAAGAGTCGTCACCGACTTTTTATTTTATCCTAAGGAAAGGTCAAAAAGCACAGGAAAGACCTTTGAGATGTTTTCTTGGGTTCAGGGAGTAGATTATAGAAAGGGAAGGTATTAGCACCCTTTCTATCCATGGTTATCCACGGGCTCTTAGTTATTTGCTTAGATCACTTGCTTTGCATTTTCAATTGTTTGAAATGGTGCTTTGTGTGTGGTTTTGAAAGATGTTTTGAAAATAGGCCATCGTTGTGGCAACCTTTGTAATGATTCTTGTTTGAATGTATACAAAGATGTTTTTGTCTTTTGAAAAGTTTCCAATGTTTGAAAGTAGGGTTTTAAAATTGTGTGGTGAAGTGTGTTTTGAAGATAACAAGGATGTTTTTGCAAGTTTGATCAAGTAACTAAGAGCTATCTACCCTATTTTACTCAAAGATCTTTCTTATGTTTTTAACCCTTTTAACAGTGTTACTTCACCATTGTATTTGGTGAACAACCTTGTGTTAGGATGTTAACGGGACAGGCGCGGGTCATCGTATAGACCATGATAGCAATTGTGTCAAGTATTTTTGGCAATTTTCTTGAGGGACTTGATCATTTTATTTAGGCAACTCAGATAGAGTCATCGAGGGACTATGATCTTTTTGTTTGTTTTTGTTTTGCCAAAGTACTTGACATGCAATCATGGCCCATTTTTGAAGGCAACAAGTGGATTGAAACCCTAGGGGTGCAAGTGTGCATTGTATTTGTTTTTCATGCATGTTTATCTTGGATTAGGTCAAACTAGTTGTTGATTTTATTTGCATACAAACCCTAAGTCTAAGCATGGCATAATTGGAAGCTTTTAAATGTGCGAGAATTTAAATGCTACACTATTACAATATGATATAAGGAAGGGGGTACAAATTTGAATTGGGGGTATTTGACAAGTAATTAAATTCTAAGTTATTACAACCATATTGAATGTACAAGGCAATATTTAATATTTAAATAAATACAATTAAATAAATGTCAAATAAAATGTATTATGCAAAAAAAGATTTTCATGTATGTAAAAAGTATTTTTCAATGTGAAATGTAAATAAATAAAAAAGACATCAATTTTAATTATTTTTGTTATTTAGGGCAAAACCCTAATTCTTAAATAAATAGTATTATTTATTAATTATATACAATAATATATTGATTTATAAAAAAAATAAAAGTATATTGTGAAAAATATATTTTTAGTGTATATTAATAAAATGAAAATGTATTCTTTTTTGCATTTTTGTCCCAATTAATTAGTTAAAAGAAATATATATATATATATATATATATATATATATATATATATATATATATATATATATATATATATATATATATATATATATATATATATATATATATATATATATATATATATATATATATATATATATATATATATATATATATATATATATATATATATATATATATATATATATATATATATATATATAAATAAAAATTAATTATTTTACAAAAAAATGTGTATATTAAAAAAATGTTTTTAAGTGTGTATAAAAATAATAAATGAAGATAAGTATGTTTTTTATATTATTTTTGAGTTTTAATAAAAAATGGAAATAGTTTATTTATATGTTTATACTAGTAAGATAAAAATAAATATCAAATAAATATGAAAAATATAGAAAATAATTTTTTGGAATTTTTTATATTTAGTCAAAAAATAATAAAGTCAGAATAAAAAATAAAAATATCAAAATGGCAAATATTCAAATAAATGGGCCAGGGGGTGTAAACAGAAAAGTGGGGTGTCAAAAGCAAAGAACAACCAGGCCCAGCCCAGTCAGACTTCATCTTCTTCCTTTGAATCAAAACACGCGCGCTTCTGTACACAAATGCCATCTCCTGATTCTTTGATTTTTTGACAAAACTCATAAAATGAATATTGTAGAGCATTAAACAATGAATCCAACCATATAAAAAACTTGGACTAACTCTCAAAGACCAGAGAGAATTTCTCTGGCCGTAATTCTTAACCAAGTTTTTTTCAGAAAGTTCATGAGTGAAATTCTCTTAGCACGATTAATGTAAATGAAAACTAAGCATATGTATGGCTTCAGGGCTATGAGTACAACATATTTCATTCACAAACCTAAGCCTAACTATTCCTAAATAGAGAGATAGAAGTCCATGAAATACCTGTTTTAGTTGAGTTCGAGTTGGACAATGTGACAACCTTCAATGGTGTTTGAGCTTCTTTTGAGCTTGCCTGAGGTCCAAGGAAGCTTTTCCAATGCTTGGCTTGTTTTGAAATAGCTTGAATCGTGCCAGAGAACTCAACCTGCAAAGCTTTGGAACAAAAATGGTAATGTGTGTTAGAGGTGTTACAACTAGCAATGGATGATTTGGATAGCTTAGATATGTTGGTTGGAAGGTGTTTGAAGTATCTTTGGACAAAACGCGCGTTGGAATTTGGTTATGGCTTGAAGTTTGCAGAGCTTGCCCTGTTTTGCAGCAAAACAGGGATTTTGTGTACAAGGGGGTTTGGGAGGCAGAAGGGTCGTGTTTCTGGCTTGTTGGGAGGTATGAAACTTGTCTATAATGTTTGTGTAAGTTGGTCTTAACAGATGCGAGAGATTGAGTATGATTTGCAACTTTTCTTCTTTTTCAAGCAAGAGTGTGTATGTTCTCAATGCAAGCATGTACAAGCCCTATATCATGCTGCATACTTTTCTCTTGGTTCTTGGAATTGGTAGATTGAATCTTGATTCAGAGATATGGCCCCATGCCTCAAGGATTTTGTTTTGACATAAAGTGAAGTTTAGGCAAAAATGGCATTGTTACTTTTTCCATTTAAGGCTTAAACTAGTGTACAATGCCTTAATGACCAAGACAATATATTAACTCATTGGTTATGCATTAAATTATGGAGTACAAATTGGTTTTGAGTCCTGTAAGCTAGTACCAAACATGCTGATTTGAAAATGCAAGTTTGTATGAACATGTATTGGCCATGGACAAAAGTGAGTTTTTGCCAACTTCAAGCATTCGATTCTCTCTAACCACAAGGGTGTTTGAGAAGTTCTTGGACAATTTGGAAATCTTGGAACATGTAATATAATCCATCTTTGAAATGAAACTCGAAACTCCAAGTGGAACTATGTGAAAAATGGCCAAGAAGATGGGTCAAAATCCTGCCTAGATTAGGGCAAATTTTCTCTAAGTTAAAAGTTTTAGGTACCCTTGTTCCAAAAATTATAACTTGAGATACAAGACTCTTTTGAGAAAACTTTGTGAATCAAATTTGTAGACTTTGTGATGGACTACAACTTTCATGTTTCAAGTTTTGTTTGAATCCATTTGCATATTGGTGAAAAAATGGGACAAAGTTAGGAAAAAATAAGAAAATTTCACAACTTAGAAAAATTCTAAGTTATGAAATTTTTCCATTTTAAACCCTAATTTGTATTTTTGGGTTTCTTGATGAACAAGTTTCATAATTTGACATGTATTGATGAAAAATAACTCTTGGCACTTGATTTTGACCAAAAAGTCAAAGTTTGACTTTTCAGTGTACAGTCAAACTTTGATCAGTTGACTGAAAAATTCATTTGTCAATCCTATGCATTTGAGATCTTTTGAACTTGTTGAATGGGTCAAGACAATATAATTGAGTCCTTGAGTCCATGGGTGAGATTGATTTGCCATTGGCTAGGTCAAACAGTCAAAAATTGCCTTTGTGCAGTCAAAACCCTAAAAATGACCAGTTTGCCCTTTTGGTGATCTGATCAAATTTCTTGTGGAATTGTGATCCAAACTTGATCAAATGGATCATATGAGTTCATAATGTTTATGTGTGTCAAATTTCATGAGGTTTGACTGTCAATTGGCCATAGTTGACTTTTTCCCCAATACAATTGATTTCTAGGTCAACTGTCCAATTGACTGGGCAAAAATTTGAATCAAGGCTTGAAACTTGGTATGGACAAACTTGTGAGTCCAACATGAAGTATGAAAATCACTATGGGCATTGTAGTTCAAAATATCCCTGTGCAAACTCAAACCCTAATTTGGGTCAACAGTGCAAGGGGGTGTCTTGAGCAGAGCAAACCCTAGCTTGATCTTGAGTTCCAAGAGTCTTAAGATGAGAAAATGTTGGTGAAATGAGATAGAAAATTTTGGGGTACAACAGTTGCCCCTGTTCAATCTTCTTGAACCTGAAGAGTTA